CGCACACTCACTACAGCACACAGGCTCGTACACTCACTCACTACCGCACACACGCCCTCACGCTCACTCACTACAGCACACAGGCTCGCACACTCACTCACTACAGCACACACACCCTCACGCTCACTCACTACAGCACACAGGCTCGCACACTCACTCACTACAGCACACACGCCCTCACGCTCACTCACTACAGCACACAGGCTCGCACGCTCACTCACTTCAGCACACACGCCCTCATGCTCACTCACTTCAGCACACACGCCCTCACGCTCACTCACTTCAGCACACACGCCCTCACGCTCACTACAGCACACGGGCTCGCACACTCACTCACTACAGCACACAGGCTCGCACACTCACTACAGCACACAGGCTTTCACACTCACTCACTACAGCACACAGGCTCTCACGCTCGCGCACTACAGCACACAGGCTCTCACACTCACTCACTACAGCACACAGGCTCTCACACTCACTCACTACAGCACACAGGCTCTCACACTACAGCACACAGGCTCGCACACTCACTCACTACAGCACACAGGCTCGCACACTCATTCACTAGAGAACACAGGCTCTCACACTCACAATCACTACAGCACACAGGCTCTCAAATTTACTCAATACAGCACACAGGCCCTCACACACGTTTATTTGTACGACACATACAGACTAACACACTCTCGCACACTCCCACACTCTCCCACACTCTCATACACACTCACAGACACTCGCATACACTCCCACTACCTCACTGTTCCACACATGCTCACCCACACAAACAGACACACACAGAGGGGTGTGCCAGGGGTTCTGGCTGAGTACGGCACAGGGAAGAGGCAGGGAGAAGTTCTATGGGTTCAATCACACTGTGTAGATATTAATACTAATATCAAACCAGCAGCTCCCAGTCCTGCTAGGAGTACATGACCACCCAGAGACATGCATCGACATAAAGGATAGAAATATATACTGTTCATTTAGCTCTAGGGCAAAGAAAAGATATTTTAACAACAATAGAATTAATACATTTAATTTAAAACTGATATGATCAAATCTACTTATTAAAAATGTAAATATGAACTGATCTCTTCTGTAAATACTTATTAATATAAATGGCACTTGCTGACCAATATACTTTGTGATAGACTGATAGTGTGTATGTACACAGTGTGTCCAAAAGGAGTCTGGACTCCAGG